CCGCGCGCTCCGCCCGGCCCCGCGCGGGAAACGCCGTGTGCGGGGCGGGGTGGCGCGAGGGGGGGTGCGGGAGAGCGGGAAACGCCCGGCCGGGCCGGGCTGCCCCGCGCTGCGCCAGCGCAGCGCCTGTCACCCAGCCCCTAGTCCTGAGCCTGCCCCGACCGGCTGCGGRCACGAGTTATTATTAGGAAAAAAGTACTGGAAATACTCCTTTTTCCTCAATATCCGCTGTAGTCAAAATACAGGATTTCTGCACCGCAAAGGTGTTCTAGACTTGAAAGCGGTTTGCTGCAAGCTTGAAACCGTGGCTGAAAAAAAGTTCCCACACACAGTGTAATTAATTTTGCCTTTTAAATTGGATTTCTGCTTAAGATAATTATTTTTTGTCATGCTAATGACAGACATGCTGCTGCATTATTCCTGTCCTGTTTTTTTTTTTTGTGGAGGAGGATTTGCTTCTAGGGTCGCTTGTGGCTCGGTAGTGAGTTGTCACAGAAGGAATACTCCTATATGCAGTTGTAATAAGTTATAAAATTACACATTTTTAATGATAATTTTTAAGGAAAGGGRAAAAAAACAGGTTTTATTTTTCAATAGGGAAGTAGATAACAGGTAATGCTAAGTCTAGGATATGAACTTAGCAATTCTTAGCCTCTCATTTCTTTCAGCAAGTTCTAATGTAGCATGCACTGTTTGTTAAACAGTGAAACATAAACTCCTAAAGAACCCCTTAATTGAGGAGGAAAAAAAAAAAAAAAGCATTTACGCTTTCAAGCCTTGGTCTTCCTATTGTCTAAAGAAAGAATTAATCCCATAATTGCAACGTGTATCTTCCCAGCGTATATTTGCATGCACGACAGTCATATGTGTAGGCAGGGGCATTCCCCGTAAGCTGCTGCCGCTCTGACCCGCAGGCAAACGGGCTCCTGGGATTCAAGAGATTTGCAGAGTCATGGAAAATTCAAAGGAGAATCTGCATCACAGTCGGACGTGCCCAGGCATGAACTCCAGGAGGAGGCAAAGAAAAAGGGAGGAACGTTGAGCAGCCGAGAGCCTGTTGTTATGCTCCAGCCCCTGCRATACGAAGGTGAGAGAAAACGGTGACTTTTGGGGATACGTTTCCAGACCTTTATCTCAGCTCTGTCACAAGCAATTGTACATCCATTGCCAATCAATATAATCTGTGATAAAGTAGTGCGTGCCATAAAAGCGTGGTAGGTCTAGCTGCATTTGCAGCTCTGGTGCAGTGATTTTCTGATGAAGAGCTTGACAGCGCTTGGCACCTTAATATTTGCATCGCTCGGTRAAAATCTATGGAACGAGCATGCAGGAGGTTAGCTTTGATGATTGTAATACTTCTGATATAATCACTTGTGGCCTTAAAAATCTGAACTTTTATAAGTGATTGAGTGTATCTATAGGTTGGCATGAGACCAGAGAGGCGTAAGTCCAGATACTTGTCAGCATCAACTACATACAGACTACRTGGGTCCTACAGCACATCTCATTTAAGAGGTTGTAGACTTTAATATCTCCACTCTTGGAATGGACCTTGGGGCCTCTAGTAGATGCTCAGGACCTGTGGCTTTTCCTACTTTAGGTCAAAGATGCCTTCTGAATATGAATTGAGTACGACTAGAGCTCTTCACAAGCCATTAAGAGGGGACTAATTTGAATTAGGTTTGACAACTTCATTTGTTTTTTTCCGACAGTTTACGTGTCTGCTGATCTTGGCAGCTACATCCAGGATGAGAGGATGTGATGGCTCTGCTCTGGGAAAGCTGCAGTCTACAAGCACGTGAGTCAGATCTCTGACAAGTGGAAATCAAATCTACATTATTAAAATGAATTTAAAGTGAAATAAACGCTCAAATCTCCCCTGATAATGAAATACAAACTCTAACTACTTGGGGGTTAACCAGAAAAGAAGTAACACTACATTTACCTTTCCGCCTGTAGTGGCTGGAAGAAGCTGATGGTAAGATTAATTATATAGACATCATTGTRTGCTCCAGGAAGATTTATCTACCTGTATGTCTGATGTGCGCAGATAATCTATACACATGGAAGGAATGAGTTAAAAATTAGATTACTAAATTTAAGTAGATACACTTGTTCTCTGTTTTTTTTTTTTTTCCTTTATAACTTCATTACAGGACACACAAAAAATTCACACAATTTTGTGAGAACGGTAAATATATTAATTTYTTTTTGTATATCTAACACGAATACTACTGAAAAGTAAACATTCCCACTGATTTTTTTTAAGTTGTTTCCAGTCTTGAATATACAATATTTCATCCAAGATGTGGGTGAAAGCGCCAGTTCTATGTGATAGATAGCCAGTATCTTTGGMACAGAAGATGGATATAAACAAATTACATCAATATGTTAGTGTTCCAATAGTACTTTCCAGCATAGAGTGGGAAATAATTTGAAGACATCAGTTGCTTTAAACCAATGTATGACTTTCTGAAGCACAAAAAATAATAAAAAAGGAATGGCCAAAGACCTGATTATTCCTTGCCTTTCTTCTTCTCCTCAGCTGTCTCTTCTTATGAGGTCAATTATGCTGAAAAAAAATATATTTCTCTAACAATTTTGGTTGACATTTTCAAGTTCAGCCAATAGTTTCAAAAGCTGTGGATGAGGAAGAGACACATGCCCTCAGATCAAATTGTTTGTTTTTATTTCCATTGAAAACTGGTCTGAGTCACCAAATTACTGAGCTCTCAGGGAATCTGTAGACCCTGGAGTGAGTCACCAGAGAAGTTATGTCTCATGTCTGCTGCCCAGCCTTTCCTGAGATGCTGCTGCCTTGAGCTAGTTGTGTTCTGGGATCCTCCCTGGGATATTCCYACCTTCACATGACTTCAGGCTGCCTTGGGCTAGTTGTGTTCTGCGCAGATGTGGAAAGCAGCCGTGCCCTTGAATTTTGCCCATTCAACACCAGCCAAAGAGGCTGCATTAGAAGTGATCATGAGTATTTGCCACATGAACATGGACTGTGAACATCTGGCATTAGTTGCCATGGCTAAAATACAGATGCAGGGCTGGGAGCAGGACCTGGACCCACCAGGTCACTGCCATGGCACCATGTCCTTTTGGAGCTTGCATTCGTTGCAATACAGAGCTGCAGCTCTAACTAGGGAAAGAGAGAGGAGTGACGAGCATTGGTGTCCCTCGCCATAAACCTTTACAACTAGGGCTTCAGATAGATGACTTGCCAGCAAAATGAAATGGACAAAGAATCAACCTGTTTAACTTAAAACAATTATGAAATTCTTGAAACAAACAAGAGAATACTCCAAACAAGAGAGTACTGAGAGAACTGTTAAAATATATCCACAAATATCCTCTAATTTAGGAACAAAATTAAGAGATGGGCAAGCCAGAAGGAGGAGTAAGTCACCTGCTTCTTAGTTTTGTAGCACAGTAATCCTGGCAAAGACTGCCATGCACACTGCTGCTGTACATACACACTCCTGCCTCATTTCGTTGCTCTGCCCTGGGTATTTTGGTCTTTTATGGTTGTCTCTAGGTCGGAAAGCCAGAAGGACCATTAGATCATCTGGTCTGACCTGCTATGTGTTGCAGGCTATTAGATCTCATTCATTATCCTAGTATTGATTTTAAGAACGTGCTTGGCTGAAGCCTGTGCTCCAGAGAAGCCTGAGCTATTGGTCTGAAGACAACAAAAGACCATGAATCCATCATTTCCACTGCCATTTGTTTAAATATTATCCCATTCTTCCTATTATAATTTGTTCTTTAATTCTAATTGGGTMTTGTCTGGCTTCAGTTTCAAGTCATTGGTTCCTGTTACTCATTTCTACCCTAAACTGCGAGTCCTTTCAGTATTTCATTTTTTTTTCATAAAAGTGCTGGAATAATAAGCAAGCCACTTCTTGCCCTTTTTTAACAGCAATGAAAAGCCTTCATTTCTCACAAAAAGCCCTTTTCTTTCTGTTTCTGTCAAATGACTTCTGTTCTTTTAACAGCTTCTCCAATTTTCCTTTATGTCTTTTTAAAATACAGATATCCAAGCTTTGTATTATGTTACTGTGTCAGTCTTGCTAATGCTTTATACAGTTGTTAAATCATTCATCACTCTTAATCTCTGCTGCCTTAGAAAACTACATGCAACAGGGCTCTCCTTCAGCAGGAAGGAAACTTTAAAATTATTTTTATTCTGTGTGAAATGTGAAACTATATAGAGATTTATGACCTTTTTTTTTTTTTTTTTTTTGAGGTTTTGTATTTCTCCTAAACCAAATTAGCAGGAAAAAAAAGAAGAAAAACTTGTATATCAGTCAAAGTATATATTTTGCTTTCTTTAATTGACCATCCTTCAGGAAAGCCTTGGTTTGGATAAAATCAGCACTTCCACCAGGGTGAAAAAACTCACTACAGGAATCTCCGAACTGCTCTGCTCCCTGCTTCCCATAGGGGGATTGCACCAGTCCACCCTGTACCCGTATGTGCGGTGGTAAGTTGTTCACCGGTTGTCCCCCATGGTCATCCTTTTAAGTTACTCTTGTCACCCCATAGCAGTGCAGGGGAACCTGCATTCCCTCTTCCYGCATGAATAATGTACGTAGGGTGTATACAGCTACTCCTCATTTGCAAAGGGCTCTTCTCCTCAAGCAGTCAGCTATGAAAACCCTGCTCATCTGCAGTTTTGACAGTGTTTTGTTTGTTTGTCTGTAAAGCTGTGCCAGGGAAGGAAAGCAGGCCCAGCTGTCCRGCTGCAGCGTGTCTTCAAAGCTTCCTGCTGCCACAGGGACCTGCATCAGTGAAGCTGTCACTGGACTCGCTGCCCGTCAAGCCAGCATAGAAAGGAGGGCAGTTCCCACCAGTCTTGTGTGTTGCATAAGCTCTATGCTTACGTAAAGCTCACCCATCTGGTGCTGAATCCTAAAGGCAGGGCTCCCAGAACAGAGAAGGAAGATCAGTTCTTAGTAAGGAAAAACAGAGGAAATCTGTACTGCAAGCAGGACTTTGGAAGCTCTTGGATATTAGACAGTCAGATCAAATCTGTTAGGCAGTTAAAGAGCATCTTGGGCAGACTTCCCTGTCTAACTGTTTTGCTTCTTAGACTGCACAAGTGCTTGATGCTGTGGCAGCATTTTCAGCTTCCTGCTGCCCAGACTGCATGGAGTGCTACTCAGAGCTACGGTTGGTTCCATCTCTTTTCTTTCTTCCTTGAACTTTTTGTCCCAGAGCCACTACCCAGTCTAYATGGAGCTGCCCTGGATCTGTCTCACCATCTGCAATGGCATCTGCWCTGGTTTTCAATAGAATTAGTTCTTGGAGCTCTGAGCAAAGGTACCTCATTGGTTTTCAAGGGGACTATTGGCAACCTGGGAGAGGGTTTAGCAGTGCTGAGTGGCTGAATTGCTTCCACCCAGAGGCATTGCTTCTGCACCATGGCACAGAGCAATACAGCAATACGCTCCTGCAGTGCTGTCCCTGGAGTAAGGAATTAGCCCTAAGCTGGGGCTTCTGTGTACAGCCAATTCTGTGTACAGCCAAGTGAGGTATCTCCAACTGCAGCAAAGTTCGTCTGTAATCCCGATAATTTCCCAGTAAATAACTGAGCAGAGCAGGCTCTACATTTCAAGTCCCTTAAAGCTGCATTTTTTAAAATAATGACACTAAAATAAAGCCACATTCCAGCATTTCGTTTGATAGAGAGAGGGGCTTTATTTGTCCTGCAAAGAGAAGGAGAAATTTAGCACCTTACAGGAGCAGACCCCGAATCTCTTGGTATTTATAAGGATTTAGTATTATACTTAAAATGTCCTTCAAGTAAAAGAAAAGAGCCAACAGATACTTATGATTGGCACACAGTGGCTGTAATTTAATAAGATTTCCTCCTTCTTGATATGAAAAGAGAGCTCTTGGAAGTAGAATAAACTGAAATACCTATGTGTAGTGGTCCTGTCATGGCCAGAGAACACAGAAGACTCTAACCTTGTTACCCTTTAAAGTTTTGCGAGATATATTATATTACAAAGTCTGCCTTAAAGATTGTTTTAGATACATTTCAATTTCTCTCATGTTTGTAAGCCAAGAGAAGTATTTTCCTTTTTCTCTGATTTATGATTTGGCAGAGGTCACCAGTGCCATAAAACCGTTCTAGAACCCTAGCCTAGGGTTTAAAATAACGATATAGAATAGAGCTGTAAGCCTCTGTCGAATGAAAACAGAATATCTTTTTCTGTTGTGCAAAACATGCCCTGTGAGCCTGGTTAATCAGCTGAGGAACTGATAAAAGAGTTTGGTGCATTTTAAGATTTGACTTACTACAACAGCTCGTCAATCACAGTGAAAGTGATTGGATTTGAATTTAATTTACAAGCCCAGAAAGGCTGCTGTCTAGTTTGTTGCCTTTTGTGTTTACTCTTTTGATTTTCTTGCCTGTGTACAGTATAGGGAAGGTCTGAGGAAGATGTACTTTGTCGGCAACCAGTCAAATTTCTAAGTGAATTCATTTATTAAAATTATTTTTAACCTGAGTGCTTCAGCCCAACATCGTTCATGTGAAACAAGTGAAGAATAGGCATTCCTTCAGAGCCTTTGGGCAGTGCTTGGCTATCAAGWTTGTCATGTAAGCATACTTATTTTTATTTTCTTAGAAAAATACAAACAGTACTTCACTTGGAAGCAGAGATAACGTTATCTTGCTACAGCTCTGGTATATGTCCAGATGTTTGGAATGGGCATACGTTCAACAAACTTTGCTTTTACATGTATCTGGCCTGCGATATGGGAGTATTTGCTTCAGACATGCGGTCATTTCAGTGAAAAGTAAGCTTAAGTACAAAATCTCTCAGAATCATTCAGAACAGTTGTATTTTGTGAAGTAAACATTTGTGAACTGTTCTATCAGTATGATAAAATACAAAAGTTTTAACAGAAGATTTTAAAAAGGGCCTTCCATAAGACTATGCAAAGTTATACAAGTATTTTGATACCTGATTTGCATGCTTTTACATTAAAACTTAAAGCCATGTGTCTTGAATCTTAATGATACTGATGCCAACAAGTGTCAACAAGTATAACCTATGAATTCATTGCAGGAGGGGATATGAAAGTGCCCTGGCTCTTGAAGAATTGCTTCTTCCTGCTAGAGGATTTTCTGTAGCGCATATGGCATGGTTGATTAGCAAAGATAATAGTCAAGTTCCTCTTTAGCAAGTCTGCAGTGACAGAAATAGCACAAATTCTTAGATTTATTTATTTGCAGTTCATTTAGTACATCAAGATTTCTCAAGAGCATGTAGATTTTTAGAAATCCAAAGYCTCACAGAAAAAAGCATGACTTTTACTTCTATCTGGAAAAAAATAGCTATGCCTCAGGTTGGTCTTTTTCACCATCTGTTTCTCAAGTATTTTAAAACTRTGGGGGAGAGGGTGAGAAAAAGGAGGAAGGATAGAAATGGAAGTCACTTAGACTGCATCTTGTGAGGCCTATCGGCTGCAATTAGCTTATGTAAATACATTCAAGATCCCTTTTATTAAAGACTCCAAGTACAGACATAAAGTCATTTGCAGGAAGGATACCAGATGCAAGGAGAATGCCTTAACCAAAACTGTGCAACGCTCAGGGACTCATAGCTGTGCCCAGTCATTATGGTCCTTGCTGAAGAGCACAGCTGATAGAGGGAGCCAACAGATGCAGCCCAGAGTCTGCCCTGTCCAGCATCTTGTGTCCCACAACATACAGTAGCAATCACTTAAAGGAAATGTATAAAATCAGAATATACAGCAAATAATTCTTTTCCTKATCAGTCTTCCCATGCCCAGTGTTTTAGAGAAGTTCTTGAGACAGCGATTGCATTTAGACTGTTATGTTGAACAGCCAACCCTCAGCTTACCCTCCACAAGGGCCTTTTGAGCTCTCCTACATTTCTGGTCAATTCAGTATTCTGGAGCAATGAGTTCCACTATTTAATTATGCAGTCTGAAAAGTACTTAATTTTGAAATATGCTGCCTGAATTATTATTATTTTTTTTAATCTTTACATTAAGCTCTCCATTAAAAAACAGTGAAAGTGGATATATAGAAGGTCTGCTTTGGAATCCCGCTGCAGGATTGAGCTGCAAGAGTGTTAATGCCAGCAGTGGCTTTGCAGGTGTAAATTGCATTTTTATGTGGCAGGGCTGTTCTCTCTCTCTCTGAAGGCCACTGCAGTGTATGAATGAGCTGCAGTGCCTGAGGTGCAGCGTGTACAATCAGAGCCTTTTACTTCCTTTGGGAATTCAGCTGTAGCATTAAATGAATCTCTTTCAGCTTCTCTGGTTGAGCAGGTGAACAGTGAAAATAGCTATGTGAGCTCTGTGGTCTGTAGTAATTGTGTGAAACCTATGAATATGCCTGCATTGCAGCTTGAGAACACAGTTTGCAATTGTCTGAAATGACATAGCACTTAAATAGATAACAGCCCTGCTTCCCCTTTGAGTGGCCGGGAAGCTGCAAAGAGCAGGTACTCAATCACATGGTAAAAAGCCACTCATTTTCAGGGTAGGCTTTGAAAGAACTGCTTATTCTACAATATCCAGGCTCTTCCTAACACGCTCTGAGTTGCTGGGAGTATAAGTAATTAGGCTCAGTGCAGTGGCCGTCTTTTTAGGTGGTATAACAAAACTGACTTCACTGGTACTGCCTACACTATCAAGAAAGAATGCAATATCTAATGTAGAGAATTGGCACAAAGCTTAAATGGGAGCTGCCTCTACTTCTTTCAGCTACGTACCAAAGATGGAGAAATACAAGATCAGGGCTTACTTGTGCTGCTTAGTGAAAATTGTTAATAATGTAACTTGTTCATTTTATCCCTCTCACTTTCTAAGGAATCAGATCAATTTCCAGAAAAGTCATTGGCTGCTGCTGCTCTTTTCAGTCACTCTGTTTTTCTTTTTTAACTGTTTGGTACAAATGAGAAACTCAAAGATGTCCAGGGGAGTGTTAGGGAACYACCTATTCTCTACCTGTGTTCCACAAGAACATAAGAAAGTAATAAAAATATACCTGTTAGCAGGTATATTTTCATTGCTGCACCAACAAAGAGTGATGACTGGACACACTAAGGACCTGAGTGATTAGAAAGTGGGAACCTCCCTTGAGTGCACCTGAGAGTCTAGAGTTGGAGGTTCACACTCTCGCAGGGAGACTGGGGCATGTTGGCCTAAAGATAGGACAAACTTACCCTTAGGAGCTGATCTCCTCAGCTTTGAGGAAAAGGATATTAACAGCCACAGGAATAGCTTGATATCCAAAATCCACGAGGTGTTTTCAGTCCTTCCTTTGTAAGCAGGCTAGGGCCATGGGAAAGTGCTTAAGCTCTGGCTGCAGGTCCAGAGGGGAGAAGAGTTTCAGGTTATCCCTCTGCCCAATGTTTGCTGTTAGCTGAACTGGGCTGGTCCCAGGCCCAGGGTACTGGGTGCTGTGGCTCCAGGGTGCCAGATTCTGCCCTTTCTACCCCAGGACTGTGGGTTTAGGAATTCCACACACAGCTTGGCAAATTCCACTGTGAAACTGGGAGCTAGCTCTGGTGCAGGCTTAGGCKCTGAGTAGTCTTAACTGTGTAGCTTTTAGGCACTCTGTAGCTTTGAAGAAGTTGTGCAGAAAGTTTTCTACTAAATTTAGGTACCTAGARGACTAGAGAGAAATGCTGAATGACTTGGAATAAGAAGTTGCACCTCCCAAGGTGCCAAGAGGCACCTTGGCTGCAGTTAACTGAAGAACAGTAAGTATTGCCAAGTATTCAGCYCAGGGAAGGACACTGCTTCTTGTGCAAGTCATGGAACAAACCGGTCTGCTGACGCTGACTGGCGACTGGTGATATGGATTCAAGGTCAGTATCTTGTTATCATCACTAGAGATTAGCTAAAATATTTGCAGGCATGAAATGTCCTTATTTTGCTTGAGACTTGTTGATAACTCTTCTAGCTGGGGATGAGGCAGCACCTCTTTGCTTGTGAAAAGGTTTGTGATACCTGTCTTGCAAACACATGCATTTGGAAACTGGAAAGCATGCTAAGGACAAATTATTCATCAAATGTATGTGCCACATCAGTCATAAATGTGGCTAATTAAAGTTCTCAGGGTTTCACTTTACGTATACTGTCTGTGTAGTGTGATTTGAAATAAGATTTGAGTCATGAAGATGCTGATATTTAGAGTGGCTGGCTGTCAGTCATCATTGATTCTGCAAATCAGCTGTTGCTGGAACGAATCTGACAGAATAAAAGGTTTAAGTGCATACCTGTCACTATTCATTTGTCCTTACTCTCTGCTTTTACAGGTGTGATACTGGCATCTGAAATGAAGACGCATGTTAGTGGTTCAGAGGTGAAAATAACAGTTGATATATAGGACGTGGTAGAAAAAAAAATCCAATAAGCAGCTTTCTGTTTGGCAGGTAATTGCAGTGAAACTACATTAATATTCTGTCTGTTCACTGACCAAGGTAACACAGACTGAAGTGTGGAAGGGCCTATTAAATCAGAGGGAAGGACAGGACATGCTTCAGCTGTAGTACCTAAGTCCTTTAAGACTTCCAAAGCTTTCATAAGCTTATGAAACATCTACTGCATTCTTACAGAAAAAAAGAAAAACATCATCATCATCTGTACTGTGTATTTCATATAGACAGGAAATAAATTCAGCATGCTATGGACAAGAACTCTGAGGACTTAAGTCTTCATATCTATCTGGCTGGTATACATTGTTCATGTACTCTAGTTTATACTATTGTCAGTTTTGAGTTTAAGAATGATGGTGGATTTTTTTCCCTTGCTGCAGCGAACTGCTGAGTTTGTCTGAACAATTCCCATTTCAGAATTTCTCTTGGGSCCTCCAGTGTTCTGTTCTCTACTTGTATCACTCCCATGGCACACCTTCTCAGATTTTTAATAATGAAAATAGTTACCTTTTCATATGTGGATAATACTCTGTTGTTTCAGAGTAGACACTTTTTTTTTTTTTTCTGTGAAACTCTGCAAGACACAAGTAAGTTGGAATATTGCACTGGACAAATCCTGGAGAACTCTTCCTGTCATTCATGTGTATTCACCCACTGTGTTATTTTTGAGAGCAATATTTTTGACATACCTCTTCTAAGTAAAATCATTCTTTTACTATATATATATATTGTAGAGTGTTTAGAAAGACATTCTCAGAAAGGACTGTACCATGTAATTTCATTTCACAGGAAACTGTCCTTTATGAGCAATGGGTCTTTTGTTTCAGAATTTTGTTTAATATAACCAGATTTGGGCCCACACAGCTGATGTTGATCAGCTGGGTGTCAGTAGAATAATTAAATAGCTGGATATGAGTAAATTTGCCCAACCTGGACTTTCAAAATAATTGCAATTTCTTGCCAGTTTGATGAAGAAGTGGTAGGAAAAGAAAATGGAGATKGAAAGGAAGGAATATAATAAATATAATACCTGTTCAGTGTGACTGTGCTTCGGGTGTAGCCGTTGCCCTCACTGTTCATGTCAGTCCCTTTCCCTTCCCCCCAGCCCCTATTTCCTTCTTGCCAGGCAGTTCCTATCCATACTGCATCTAGTCTGATGGATGTAGCTGMTACTGGTGTCTGCAAAGCTGTTATAAACCTGAAGGAGTTTTGGTCTCCTCGCACAGTGTCTTACACTGCTCAAACAAGTAGAGAGCTGCCCTAAAGGATCTTCAGATATTGCCATGGTAGAGAGGAGTCTAGGAAGAGCGAAAATTGTAAAGTAGTGCTGTAAACAACAATTCCTTCCCTGCRAGATGAGCCAACAACAAGGCTTTGTATGTAGGGAGAAGTGTCAGAGAGTTGGTATACAGACCTTTTAAAGGCAATTTCTTTKAAAGAAAAGTGTTTCCCCACTTCTTAGAGATTGTAAAATGCAGACTTTTTTTTTATCTTGACACTCATATGTCAAAGTTGTGGGTTTTGTTCAGAAACATCTTGATGAAATTTTATGGCCTGGGATATTTGTTGCTATTTTTGTTTTATTTATAAACAAAGGGGGTCAAACAAGATGAGCAGAACTTTCTGGTATTAAAGTGCATGMAAGATTAATTAACTCTCATTGATGTCCTCGTTTATAGTCACAAGGCATAAAATATCTGCCATAGCAAACTTTATTGAAAGGGAAAAGGCTCAGAATAGGTTTTGTTTTTCTGTTAAATTTTAGTTGCTTCACAGCTTTCAAGCATAAGCTAAATGCAATGCATAAAACCACCCAATATTAACATAAACTGTAGACATAGTACAAAATGTTGTGCCACTTACTGGATCATGAGTATTTGTAAGCTTTGAAGCCAAAAACACCTTCTAAGCATTGTTGATTCCATTGGCTATGAAAAGTTCTGCATAAATTCTAATTAATCTTAACTTTTTCATGAAGAAATGTTCATTTAGAAATGAACAAATATCAGTGTATTAGTTCCTGGGGAGCAGATGGAGCGCTGGTTGGGGACACAAGGTGTGGCCTCTGTCAGCACTTTGTGTAGCACCAACCTGCTCTCTGCACTTTTATGTTTCTCTCTTTAGAGCAGGATGGAGGATGTGGATCTTGATAGGGCATTTCAGAAATCTAGTGGAGAAAATAGCAAGATATTACTACTTATTTATGCAGCGTCCTATTTATGCAGCATTTTGCAGGTTAAACGTGGATATCTTCAAGTAAGGATTTCAGTCTGTCCAGSGGAATTGTAGCAGAGAAGGCTGCTGCAGAAGAGCTGCCAGGCTAGAGGAACAGCCTTCATACCTCCCTGCATACAGGCTCCTGTRAGACATTCATCCCTTGGTAAGATGATACATTTTTGCCTGAAAATGACTTGATTTTCATCCCTCTATTTTTTTGGCACCTGTGTGGCAGTTACTTCGGAAGGGGCATCTGTCGTTCCTTCCAGCAGTTTGCAAGCCCGAGCTTGTTTCCTCTGTCRTCTGGTAGATGCTCCCAGCATGAACAGCATGTCACCTTCTGTCAAAGAGGAGGCCAGGAGGGAAGACAAAGAAGGATTAATCAGTTAACAAGACAAAAGGTCAAAGGCAGAAAGAAGTTAAACAGGAAAGGAGAAGAGAACAAGAGGTTCCCATAAAAGAGAAGCAAGTGAAGAAAAGAACAAGATTAATGGAGAAAGGACAGTGAGTCCTGTTATATACATAAAACACAAAGCAGGCCTGTTCACAAAGCCTCATGCTTTCTTTTATAAGAGAGTGGCAGTTAGTGCWGGGCAGTGAGGTCCTCCACCAAGAAAGAGCCCCCCAAAAGTTTTGACCTGCTGCTGTTATAGTCACAGCAAGTGATTCCCATGACTGATGAAGCAGAAGTGTCCTCCTGGCTGCCCTGGCAGCTCACAACCCACCTGGGATGCCCCGTCCTCCAGCTTCACAGCCAAGTGATGCACCTGCGGTGATGCACAGGGCTATAACTGGGGCAGAAAGGTGCTCGTTTTAAAATATCCAGCCTAACTTGGCTTAGGGATAGGGAAATGCCAAGGCATTTAAGGGCACTTCAAGGAGATGAAAGAGCTGGTTTCTTTGAACAAGTACAGACCACTCTCCAAGCTCATTAAATAGATTTTTGTTTCAGTTCAGCTCCCAACAGCATAATTTCATGAGTTTTTAATCCTTTCCATGTCTAAACCCTGCATGAATCTTTGCTGGTCAAACTTCTGGCTGAAAGGAGGGTAAAGTAGGTGGAATTAYTGCTTTAGGAAAGTACAGGCAGCTAAATTTAAATTCTCCACTGAGCTTTTTTAAGAGAACCTCATCTCCATCTGGCTATATCCATCCCAGAAGTATAACCAGGAGGCTTGAAAGTGTCTTCATCTTTATAAACTCTCCATTTTTTTTGCTTCATTGGATCATTTAAAGTCATCCCAAAAGTCATCCTAAAATAAATTTATTTACAGTTACTTGTCACTCCTAAAAATCACAGTATGCTACTGTATGCTACATGTATGCTACAACAAAAGATGGTGGGGTACATATGCTCTTGTGCATACGGTTCTTCAGAATCTTATAGCATTACTAAGGTATCAGTTGCATCTAAGGTGAAATAGTAGAGGGAAATGGGTTTCTGAGAATGAGGAGGGGCCTGATTGTCCAGACAGGCAACAAACATCTATATTTTTACTTATTTGCCGGGAAATGCATCAGTCCAAAGCCCTTGGATTTGCCTAGGAATGCATTTTGCCCCTCAGCCACCAGTGGGAGAGTGAAAATGAGGAGCTTGTGATAATCATCTAATTGGTCAAATCTGAAGTCCAGATAATGACTTTTATCTGTGTGTAGGTTTCCAAAAAAATCTAAAGAGAAAATGCAAATGTACCTGTCTGCACGACCATCTTTTTCTTCTTCCATCTTTCTTTGCAGTAGTTCATCCTTTCTAGACATCAGGTTCCTGCTGCAGCATGAGGAAACAAATGGGGGGGTCACCTCCTGTTGCTGGAGGTGACCTCCCCTATTCCTTGCCTATTCCTGGTTATTCAGAGGGGCAGAGGGTCCATAGCAGTAGCTGGAAGGAGGCCAAGGAGGTTGGGGGTGATTTCAAATGTCAAGACATGTTGCTACAGTTCTGGCTGGACTGACCAGATAATGACTGATAAAAGGAGATTATGCAAGTCTTGAGATACTAGATTTTCATGGAAAGGAAGCTTTTCTTCTTGAGGATCTTAAAGGCCTGTGTAGCTGGCAATCTGCTATCTCTGCATTCACCTAGCAGATTCACTTCTGCCAGTGAGAAAAAAAGTCAAGGGAACAGTGTAGCCTCCTGCTATTTTATGCTGAGAAGCAGCCCTCACAAGTGTCTGCAGCAGAAGGGACAGCTCTGAACAAGAAAGGACAGACCACTAAGGTCTTCTGCATAGCATTTTGCAGGGACTCTACCAGAAGGCTATGATATGGTCAAGGATTCTCAAGGTCTGTTCTAGCTGGGTGCCCCAAGCAGCCTGTGCAGGAGGAACTGTGCCTGGCTCAAGATCCCGCATGACGTGCTGGAGCAGTCATCCAAAGCTCGGGAGAGATGGCACATGGCTGAAGTCATTCGTGCCTGTACTGATACCAGAAAATTGTCCTTGGGAAGTAGGTGTAGGCAAAAGAAGAAGTGTCAGGGAACAAAAGAACAAATAACTGAAGTCCATCGGGCTACTTTAGGCAAGGGAGACTTACCTGAAAGTGAGGCAGTCTTGGCATTTCYTTTGGATTTTATTACAAGTACGATAATATTTGGTCTTTCTGCCAATCTGGCAAAAATGTCTTTTGTCTTCATCTTTAAAAACAGCTTGCATTTTTCAGAGAAGAGCACAGAAACATAAACTAAAACACCGATGCCAAAATGCAAAGAGAAACAGACTCTTTGATATTCTCAGTGGCCATTTTTAATTTCAGAGGTGTTTTTCTCAACCTATTCCTCATCCTGAGTTTAGCTTTCAGCACAAACATTTCAAAATTGTCCCATCCTTTCTAGCCATGTAGGAAAAATTGTGGCTTCTGCCTGTGGTTGTGATCCACAGTTGACCACATTTTTCATTAAGGGAGTTACTGTTCAGAGTGAATTACCTTGAACCATTTGTGCTTGTTCTTCAAGTCTCTTGAGGAATGGGATCTATGGAGGCTATACTAGCATGAGATATAGGAGCCTGCTTTGCACTCACCCACAGATGAAATGGGCTCTTCCTGCATTAAGCCCCACGAGTTGGGCTCCCCTGTGTTTGGATACTTCCATATGGCTCTCTGAYTGGGATTTTTGTGCAGGATGCAGGTGGTTCAAGTGGAGATTGAATACTGAGCTGCTAGTTAGATGCTGTATGTTGATTATTTCAAACTGTTTACCAGATTCCTTGTATGAGAGCCACAGAACTGTGGCTGTGCTATATTGGCRTATGGGTACTGGTTTCCTTCTGTCTCATGTCCCCTCTGGCTGAAATGGAGAGGAGTATTTTAATAGCTTCTTCTGTCCACAAAAATATATTTCCTATGCCCCATATTATTATTTTTCTTGGATTCTTCCAAAATTGTTCCTTGCACTTCCTTGTTCCYTGAGACAAAGAAAAAAGAAAAACCATACATAAAAAACAAAAAAATCCAAAAGATTATTTATTACTTAGAGCTACAAGAGGTGCTTCTTAATCTGATTTTGCCATTTCGTATTTTTCCTGCTTGTAAGTTTGGGGATTGKTTTTTTTTAGTTTTTATCTTTATAATAAAATTAGAAACCTGCCGAAGTGACACAAGTCTATCKCATACCTACTAGATCAAGAGATTTACTGGTGCAAAGGAATGTTTATACTTTGTATAAAAACATTAGTCACCTGGTGTGGTAAAGTATACACTGACTTCAAGGGAAACATTGCAGAGCTCTTCAGAGCTTTGAGAATGGCCAGACATGAATTATGCTGATATATGTCCACATTACTGTTTCATTGAGGAAGATAAAGATAAAACAGGATAATCAATCATATTCAAACAACCCAGAGCTACCAAATACATCTTCAACAGCATTAGACAAATACTTTTTTTTATTCAGTTATGCAGATATATGGCTTGATCATAAACACAATAAAAATGTATTTTATCTCTGGTCAGTTTCAGTTTTGCTGTAGACATAATAGAACAAAAAGGTGCAATTGCCTAAGGATACATATTTTGTCTGAGGAGTCAATAATTTCTCTTCTTTGTGCCTGAGTGAATGTTTGGAAAGTTTGGGAGGAAAATGTTCATTTACTTGGCCACAAAATATTTCACAGTCCCTTGACTTTGATTATAAAACTGAACACTTTTTTTTTTTTTTTAGGAAGAATGGAATTAAAATAGCTGTTCTGGAAATGGAAATAGATAATGATCTTTAAACATTTAGTAATTTGAAATGTGAAAATCTAAATTTGAAGTAAGCTTTGATGTAGATGAGGTGWTTTATACTAAGAAGACTTTAATGCAAAGACTAAATCTGGCCATTCCAAAAACATCTCATGTAACTCTACTCCAATTATGGAATTTTAATTTGTTTCCAGAGGGAGCTGTGCTATTCAATTCCACACTTCAGTAAGATTCTGCTTCTTATTCAGCAGCACTTGCTGAACCAAAAAAATCTAAGTTTGATTCAAACTAATTAAGCTTGTGAGGATTTACAAGCAGCAGTCAAAATCTTGCCAGCAAAATATTCAGTGGGAAACAGAGTAAAAGCTCAAACCTCTTTCTGCAAGTTGAAGAGCTTTCCTTGGAGCACCAGCTAGGAGTCTGAGGCTTTGGGGATATCTTTGATTTAAAGAGGAATTTTAAGAGCACAAAATGAAAACAAAATGTGTAGGGACCAAAATATTTTATRAACTTTCCCTAGTAGGCTGTGTCGAACATCTGAAGGAATTAAGGGCTGAATAGATGATCAATCTGCAGATAAAAAGCTGAGTTGCCTTAACCTGGGCTGTGTGTACACCCTGAACTTGATGCAATGGTAAAGCAAAACTTAAAGTTTTTATTCCTCAATTGYAATGAGTCAGAAGTATGCAGATGGTTAGTTAAAATTATTCAGATGATGAGTCAGCTTGCCAGACCACTGTAATGGCCCTTTGCAGTAACTTCATTGCCTGTGATAGTCTGTCAGTACCCTTGCTAACCAGCATGAAAAAACAAATGTTTTAATTTAYCATTCTGAAAGCAAATAATATTGCATCTGACACCACACACACGCTACCTGGGTTTAACACAGTCCAATCACATCCTCCAGAGCCTGTGTGTCATCCCATCTTTTGTATTTCCATGCTCTTTAAGGAAGGCTAAATCTCGAGTAAGGTGGGAGGATTTCAGTCTGGGAAATTCATGTATTTTTATATTGACACASAGTCAGTCTGGAAAGTCTTAGGCACATTTAAGGATTAGGAACCCATCCAGTTTAATGGGCACATGCTAGTGAATGTCATGCCGACTTGGAGAAGGGAGTCAGGTCCATAAATGCAAGCGTGGCCAGTCCATCTGTTACAGGATTTGGTCTCTTTGGGATAAATCTGCTTCCTTCATATAACGTGTGCTAAGTAATAAGTGAGGATCCCTTACTTATAAAAACCCACACTGACCCTGTTAAGAAGAAAATACTGAGCTGCTCAAGTTGGCTTTCTGAGCTACATCAAATAAACCTAGAYTTTTACTGATACTGGCATCATTTTTTTTCTGACCTGCCCCAGTGTTCACACAGTGTGCTGCACAGCTGCATGGTAAAAGATGCTCACAGTAAATCTCCAGAGGATGAATCCATTCCTGCTCAGGAGAAATCCCATAGGGGATAATATTCTGACAAGGAGGAGGAGGAGTGGAGAAGATGAGACACAGAGCCAGGGAGCCCAGTTCAGATGCCCACCAACCTCTGGGAGGTTGAAAAGTGCCCAAAACACATGCATGGGGCCACTAGATGTGACATGGGACCTGTGGAAGACTTAGTCCTCAGCAGGGAGGCAGCTGCTAGCGAACTGGGACACAGTGGGGCATTAGATGTCTCTATGCTGGGAAGTGAACCAAACCCAGCACACTTTCTTTGTCTTCAGAAGACAGTGATTGTGGAAAAGTCCTGGAAATATTTAGTGGCAGGCCCTGTAAGATTTTGGTTGTGTCAGAAGCTGTAGCGGTGGCCTGACTTGCAGTGTGCAGTGGTGAGTGGCTCCAGGAACTCTTCCACTTCGCCTCAGGAGAAGGAGATACTTTTGCCCACTGAGAAAAGCAGCTGAGGGAGAATGGGCAAGGGGTGAAGCCTCTGGATTAGAGTCAATAAAGCAGCTTTCACCAAAGGAGCAAGAAGGAGGAGTCATAACTCCTCCTTCCAGGTTGGCAGGAAAACAAACGCAAACCAGCAGGGCCTGGTTTGTCTGTATAGATTTTTTTTCAGGGTTCATCTTGGCTAGAGTTAGAGGCCACTCAATACAAAACTCATCTTTCCATCAAAGACATCATTTTTTGGTCAAGCTGCTACAACCTGCCAGCTGGCTGGCCTGCATTAGATGAGTTGCTGTCCTGCTGACAGCCTCCATGAGGAGGTAAAGGATGGAACCGTCTTGAAGCCTGAGCATCCCTCTAAGAGATGCCAGTCTGCTCTGCAGAGCACTGTTATATTAGCACTATGAGCAAGGAGAAGCCCCATCAATTCTATAATGCCTAAGTAAAGATTTACTCTGCCAACATTTTACTGTTCCTCTTAGCAAATTTTTTTTTCCCCAAAAGTGTTTTTTTGCTACATTTGCACCTGTGATTTCTTTAGTTATGCCTAAACTTAGATAGTGAGCGGTAAATCTGTATTTAAAAGGTCAAACAATTTCCTTTTGACAATATTTCTTACCCCAGCTATATCACCAGTTCCCTCCTCCATTGCAAAGAAGCAGTAGGTGGAAAGTGCTATTTTCTTACTGGAGATGGTCCATGAATAGCAGAAAGAAAATACAAAGAAGACATTTTATCTTAGAATATCTACGCTATTTTCAGATGGTGCTGATGGATATCCTCTCTTAGAAAATCTCTTCAGAGATATCTGAAGAACTATATAAACAGGCTTGTCCAAGACTGATAAAAAAATATTCAGCACTGAAGTGCGATTTTTTCAAAATTGCCAAAATTTCCCCACCAAACCTTATATCTCACCAGGTGTTTCTATTGCACTTTTTGATACTTACTTAGATACAGCTCATTTGTGTGAAGCGTTAGTTGACTTAAACCAAGTTACTTTCCCAGTGAATTGCTGTAACATTTAAATCACTAGTCCGAAACAGACCCAAGCACTTCCTGCAAAACCCATCCAATGCGGATCCTACTGGAGACACTGAGAGTCTTTCCATTGTTTTTATTTGGAACGGGCGCAAACCTCTTCTCCTGGAGACTCTTTTGGATGTTGGTGCTTTTCAACATCAGACAGAAGATATATCAGGACCTGATAAAACAGAATTATTAGTGAAAAATACTGAGTGATTGCTTTCTAATTACCACTTAGTTTCTGTAGTCAATGGTGTTTTATTAATCCTGGTTAGAGTAATTGTGTCTAGAGCTGGTAGACTTCAAAGTCTCCTCTTTCATTGTACAATGAATTCTATTTGCCACATTTTATGTAGGTTATTTTTTAACCTATTTGAACTATTATAAAATATTACCAGTTTAGTAATTATTTCAGAAGAGAATATTTCCAATATGTCACGTTTATTTTCTGAAAATAAAAATATGCAGCATCTCTAATCTTTTGTTATGATATGAAGGTGTATGCATTCCTTTATTTTTCATTTTCTTTTTTTTGAAAGAGAGGGGAAATGAGTTTTCGTTTCCTCTTGAAAACAGATAGAAGGATGAGCAGCACTTGACGGAATCATCTGAACAGGTAGATAGTCAGGATTATGTTTACATACATATGAACCAAAAAGAAGTGGGTATCTATAAATRAATTTGAAGTAGACTTGGAGAGCACTGTGTGTGGGATGCTTGCCGCTGCTTTATTTTTAACAGAATTTATTCCACCTAGATCAACATCATAAATAATGCTGTCTGATTAAGAGCAGAGATAACTGTAGCCAGAGCAATTTACCCACTGCTTGGCTGATGGTGCTTGACAGGCTTTGTGAAAAGGGTAAGGTTGCCAAAGGTCTCTCAATGGACAGACAGCTACTTCTGTGTAAGAGAGACAGTGTGGGTTTTGAGCCTCATAAATGATAGAGACAAGGACAGAGAGGTGAAGACAATATGACCTGACTGCAAGTTGCTGGGGGTTCATACAAGCTTCAGGCCCTTGCTTTAGCAATAGTATTTTGTTACTAATGACACCAGCTATTGTTCCATATTATGAAGTAGCCAGASAGCAGACTATGTTTAGTCCCATTTTTTTATGGATTTTTTTTTTTAATTACATGCTTTTTAAAGCTTATTCCTTTATACAGTAGGTCACTTACATAAATRAAGAAAAAGTCATTTACGTTTCTGTTCTAGGAACTGCATCAGTTCAATTTTAACCATAAATGAAACAGCAAACAAAATCCGGATTTATCAGAGAAGAGAACAGATTCTTCTTCAGTGCATCTGCTTCAATTTTAGGTTCAGAAATGTGAGGAGACAAGAGAGAACTCAAGACTTTTCAAAATCAAGATATCTCCTTCTTTTGGGGTAGGAGAACTCAGATTTGAGATCAACACCTGCAATACAGGTTGGGATCTTCAGAGTAGGCTGAAAATATCCAAGTCTATAGGAATGAAACAAACAAACAAAAAGCTGAAAAAGGAGTAACTGAGGTTTTTTTTTTTGTTGTTTGTTTGTTTGTTTGTTTGTTTGTTTTTGTAAAAGGGGGTGTGAATATAGCAAGAAATGTGTTTCCTTGGAGAAATCAAACAACCCTCTTTGGTATAGCAGAGAAAGCCTATATTGTAGTGAAATTATCTGTACTGATTTAATCTGTATTTCCTTCTTTTTCTGCGTTTTCTGACAGTTCACTAGGAAGGAGGAAGATGAGGGCAGACTGATGATGAGGTAGGTGAAGAATATACCATCATCATTCTTCTGCCTGTATTCTTCTATCCATAATGAGACTGGGCCAAGTTTATATRCCAAYACTGGTGAAAAGTACTTCTTTTGAGGAGGAGGGAAAATTAGTTAATCTACTGTCATATCCCAAGCTGTTTAAGTTACCCCTAATTTAGATTGAAAGATTGGACCTATTAGTATGTTCCCTGTGTGTTTCATGTTTCCTGTGTTTCTCTRGGTAGAGAGAGGTAATCTCTGTACTGCTTTTCTCATTATTCACAAGTTCAACTCATTTTTTAGCACTGTTTATAATCGCCTTCCTGTTTACGCTGCAGTATATATTCAAGGTGTATTTAAGAATTATATCAAGCCTTAAAGATTCTTATCTCAAGACTCGAAAAAGAGTAGTGCTATATATATATAACTGGTTTTATATATATATATATATATATATATATATCTACACACATATATATGTATAACGCTGGTGCTGCTGGAAGCCCGAGCAGTAAGGCTCGTCCCAATTACACTTATGATAGGAGCACTAGCTGCATGACAATGTTGGTGCAACACCGGTGCACTGCTCTTGACTTTGGCCTCTTGTGTTAGAAGGTTTTGTTTGTTTGTTTATTTGCTTGTTTTTAAGACCACCAAACAAGTATGCAGTGCCTATAGTTTATTTAGTAGAGTGATAAAAACGGTGTGTGAATCTGTGCTGTATTCTTCATAAAAGTTGCTGTATATATCTTTCATTCCTCATACTGTAACCAGCCCGGAGGATGGCGTAGTTCCCTTGGYGTAGCTGTGGCTCTTGCAGTTCATTCAGAGTTGCCTTCTGCCTTGATAAATCGTTCGTGCAGAGAGGGCACAGAATGGTTCAGGGAACTGCTGATGAGCTGGAGAGTCTCTGGGTTACCAATCTGAGTCATCTTCAATTAATAGTTACCAAAGGTAGTTAACATTCATAGTGCATTTGACCTATGTGGAAGTCAGCTGAAGTTCTCCATCCCCCAGGAGGTTGCCACCAAGAATGGCAGTTACCATCTGGGGGTTCAGTGGGCAAGGACCCACCCCAAAGGGTAGTCCCTCTAGTGCAAGTGTTAGTTTCATTTTTGAGAGATGAAATCCAAACAGTCTGTGGTGCCATATCTTCTAGACAGACTGCTTGAGGTGGCAGGGAGTTCAGTCTAATATCTTACAATGTCTCCAAGATGTATGCAAAGAGGATACAGCCCTGCTTTCCTGGTGGCATCTAAAAATGGCTGATAGTTACCAAAAACCCTCATTATTCATGTAAATTGAGAGGCACTAAAGGTGCTATCTAAATTACCCCAATGACAGTTGTAAACACAGGACTTAGGTGGTTGGGGCACGTGCTGAAATATTTGTTAGACACGATTAATTTTAATTATTAAGGACCTACTTTAAGTGGCTTTTGCTATCTCCTATCTCCTAATGGTTCTAATTTTAGAGGATGAGTAACTAAGGAGTGGGAGAATGCACAAACTGCTCCTCGGATCTTTGATAACCTTGAAGTGTAGGGAGTTGTTAGTGGATTTGTATAGTGTGAGGTCATTATGATTAGAGAATCTTTAGGATGCCAAGAGCCTCTTGCCAGGTTTGCTTGTCCCATGCAATGCTCTACTCACAGTTGATTTAATTTTTATGTGACTTCATTTTGTTAGATATAAGAAACATGAACATATCCATGCTCAGTTTTCTCAACCACATTAGTGTGATATCTCTGGGCTGCATCTTTTGGAATGGAGACACTCTGTTAATCTTTTAATCTGTTATTTTTTTTAATCTGTAATCTGTTAATTTTAACACAAAATTTGCAAATAAAAAGTGTATTTATAAAATCCACTGACACAAGCTTTTGTCCTCTTTGGTACTCTACACGAAACTAATATTCTGTATTGCATGTGCAGTGTCCTTGCAGGAAACTAGTCCTCTGCTGAAGATTGTTTTACTTGTAAGTGCCTACTTGATCTACCGACATGCAATACATGCTGTCACCTCTTAAGGGGATACATAGGGCAGCAGAGAGAGCATGGTGTGATTACTGGTGTTAGTCTTAATGCACTCTATTTAGTATTCCACACCTCTGTCCCTGTTACAGGTCTGCAGGATTACAGTCTCACTTGAGGACTGTTGTGAAGAGAAAGCAAATCTGAGGGTTAAGACAAATATGAGCTGAAGGACCTACAATGGTTTCTGCTGGGGGTTCTAGTAATCAGTTTATAAGGTTCAGGAGTATGTGAGACATTCAACCATCTCACTAAATCTCCAAGAATTTTGTTGAAAAATATTGTGTTATGAAGTGATAATTCATGAATATTCCCAAAAACGTAAAAAGGAATGCTAACTAGAGATTTAACTTGCAGCTTTTCTAAATACTTTAATGTTTTTAAAGGCATCCACTGAGCTTAGAAGTCTCATGACCACTCTTTTTACCTTGAAATGACATGGTTACCAAATTATTCATAGTGGGAGTCTTCCATTTAGTTTTCAAACAAAAACCAGAAATCACCTAAATAAGCAAACTAGRAGAAGCAAAAGCAGTGTTTCTCACTATCACTCTGTCAAAAGCGTTGGTGTGTAATACATGCTGTAGATTGACTGTACATCAGTTTTTCCTTTAATAGTTTTTCAAGTTGCATATAATGCTGAGCAAAGGAGCTGTCAGTGCAATACCTCTCTGCACGGGGTGGGGGGGACATACTAAGTCCTATAAAACAACACAGAATCCAAAATGAAATGTTAAATAAACGGTCATTTGGTGCACTAGATAACAACTAGAGGAGTGGGATGGTTAGTTCCATTATTCAAAGTTARTCTTTCAAAAATTAATCTGTGAAATGAATCATTTTCCTCAGCTTGAACTTGCAGACAGTGACAATCTACACAACTGCCTTTAGGGAACCTGTCAAGTTTGTCTTTCAGACAAATCATCAAGATGTTTTCTCCATGCTCACATACCAAAGGCAATGTAATGGGAAGAGCTGGAGCATGAAGTGTGTGTGTGTGGAGCAGGCCTCCATGTCAAAGAAGAGTTTTTGTAATGTTATTTGATAGAGGGCTTCAGTTGCTTCTTGCTCACARGTGCATTATCAGTGACCCTAGGCTTAAAAATCATGAATGTTCCATTACCACTGTGTCTGCTTCGTCTGTCCTTATATGACATGTTCATCTAAAAGGGTCAGTCTTCAGAAGAATGAAAAGTCTCTTACAAACATTTCATAAAATATCACCAAAGCTTTAAAGGGAGTCAGTCATTCATTAATACCTCTTCCACCCTGTGTGGCGTAAGCTATACAAGAGTATCCGTGAAAATAATACCAGAAAACACACAATTGAGAGGAGCAACACTAATCACCAGTTCAAAAGCAGATATGAGGTTTTTGTAAAATATTACAAGACAGAAGGCAGAAAGGCAGGTGTGTGTCCACATCTTCTCTCCATTCCCACCCGAGTCTTGATATTTGATATCTCTCTTGCCTCAGCAGTCAGTATTTCTGGATCTACCATAAAGCAATATTAAACTGAACAAGGGAGAAAGGATATAGGAAAGTGTTTTCATCTTAAGAAAATCATGGCAGCAGCGAATCAGCAGGATGCCAATAGTAAATAAAACATTCATTCCAATAGGGTAGGAGTTTCTTGATCGTCTATCTTCTTCCTTTCTAACCTGTTTTTATCTACAGGGACTAACTCATAAACTTTCCTGTCATTCTTCTTACCAGGGTTAACTAGGATCAGATCATGAGTGAAGATTCCCTTTAAAAAGTTACTTCTTTCATTGCAATGCTCTGCAATAATTCCTCCAGTTTCTATTTCCAGACTGAAACCTTCTCATCCCTTTACTGCTTAGCATTGAAAATATCCACATAAATCTCCTTTGTGCTTTCTGTGCTTTCAAAGGTGCACTTAGTCCCCACCGTTTAAACTCACCACAGGTTACTGACCTTCCAGGTGCCACCTGTACTTAAAGCTAGATCCTAAAGCAGTCTTGGCGTCTCTTTTTCTAGTTCCTGTGAATCTTGCAGCAGGTCTTTGGTGAGTCCAACCTTTTGTGCATTCCCAGAGCCACTCTGAGTGTGGAGAAAGAGACTTGCTATGATCACAGCTGTCCAAAGGTTGGATGCCTTTGGGTAAATTACCTCAAGGGAGCTCCAGARCTGTTGTTACACACCAAGGATGCTACACACAACTGAGGTATCTGATTCCATGCTCAGTGGGCCTGGAATGCTTCACCTGGAAGGAAAATGTTGCTGAGCAGTAGTGGCAAAGGAGCTGCCTTTTAAGAAGGGTGTTTCACTCTTGCTGTCTCCCCAGCAGCCTAGTTTYTTCTCACAGACAGCCAAGCTCCTGCATCCAGTGACCGCAGCTGCTGGGCAGTTAGGCAGAGCTGCTGCCCCAGGGGTTCTGGGGTACYCATTTTGGCAGGGTGCTGCCCACGTCTCTGGGTGCTGTTGGTGTGGCTAGGAGGCTCCTTCCTTTCCCAGGCCAAGTGGACTCGGTACTGYGAGTGCTGGATGAAGGTGATCATCGCTGAAATGCAAGCAATGAAATCCAGTGAATGGATAYTCTTACTGTCGGTGGAGTGGGTCCCTCAAAAGTCAAGAATTTAATGCTTTCTATTATGCTGGAATGGAAAAAAACAAAGGATGAAATATGGATATCCATGGTGTTTAAGGCTCTTAAGTTGGCCCCTGCCTATAAGGATCAACTCTTTG